TACATATACACACACAGTTACTGTCCCTCCACACATACGACTCGGTTCTGCTTCTATGCCCCAGCTTTGTTTACTTTTTCCCACCGAGGCTTCTAGACTTCTGATTGGCCAACATTTCTGCACGGTTAGGAATATAGCGCCACCTGCTGCTTTGGCATGTTCCTAGCAGCGTTTTCCTTCATTTCTGCCTTTAAGCGTGGATGGGATTATTTTTTAAAACGAAAAATCTCCGTTTTCAAAAATACCCGTGTACGTGTGGACGTAGCCTAAGATGAAATAAACAAGTTTATAATTTGTTGACCCAATGAATGCCAAAGATTTAAAAAACAAAAACAAACCCATCAAATTTTGACATTTTCAACCTGACAAATAAGATAAATTATTAACTATGTGATTCGCCGTTTTAACATCTCTGCTCAAAATCAGCCTTTTTACTCTGATGATCAGAACGACGACACATTTATAGAGCGCCAAACACAAGTACGGTCATGTTTAGAAATGGCTGTCGATTAATGGGAGTCTGATTTCGTTGAAAGCCGAGACGGCGTTTTGTTTTAATTTTGGTTTTAGTTCCACCTGATTTCACTTTCAGTTCCAGGTTTGGTTGCAAAAGAAAAGTAAAAACAATCCAAGCAGAAAACTTCCTCGTGAGAGACCCGAGCTGTGACACATGAACTGAGCCGCCGACTCGAATTAGTTTCTGCTTTTGAGAACAGATTTCACCACGGTGCGATTCTGCTTTACAGCAGCGGTTACATTAAATGGGTGATTAGACTTACAGGATTAGAAAGTACTTCTCTACACAAATTAATGTGATGCTTGACAGCATTTAGATTACACTACTCTTCCTGTCACAAACAAACCATTTCCCATCTTTCGTATGACAACATTTGATTATGAAGCTCACCGTTAGCCACGTGCCGACCTCCTCCTTCTCCCTCTGGGCTGGGTCCACCTTCTGTGCCAGACCGAGCCCTTCTTTAGAGTATGCTTTCGTCTTGGTTTCTCTTTCCACTACCTTGAATCGCTCCATTTGCTGCAAGTAAACGAAGAAATAAATAAGAAGCTGATCAACTTCAGTTTTCGGGGATATATTGATCTTCACAAACATCTAATTGTGTCTTATTGTGCCCCCTTATTTAAACATTACTCCAACTTCAGTTCAATTTTACTTGATTATCATAAAAAAGGTTTAATTGCAGAAAACAAAACCCCAAGAATTCAGATTTAAGACATTTAAAACAATACAAAAATCTGCCATCATCACATAAATGTGGAGTCGAGTCAACCGTTGGCCCGAATTTTGTTTCTCTTTTGTGTTTTAAGGCAAATCATTTACAAAAATTAGGTGACTAAACAGATATGAAGAAATGCCACTGATGCATTCATCACTCAGTCTGTACACAAAATGTCGTGCAGCTAATATAGAGCACAAAACTGCAGTGACTCAATCAGACCAGCCATGAGCTAAAGAAACGCCTGCAAGTCCAGATGCAGGGCAAAACAGCACAGCTCGCCGAGGAGCTTAAATGCAGCAGCTGGGCGAGTAACTGAGTCTAACTTAGAGGGTTTATCCTAGAAGCAAGAAGCTGCTGCTGTGACAGGATTGTTAGTTCAGCACTGTCACCTTATTACAATCATCCATAAAATGTGTAG